TTGTCCAACGACCTCGATCGCCATTTGCATATCCAACACGCCTGAAAAGACCCGGGTTCAGACCTTCCTCCCCCGCACTCACTGATGGTGGTGGAATAGACTATAGTCGCCGTGCAGAGATTGATCGAACACCTTATGTTAGTCGCCCAATTCTCACTATAAAATTACTGCTTCCAAATTATCTTCTGACTGATATCGTGCAATAGGGAGCGGTCCGAAACGTATCTTCTCCAGCTTCATTATATGCCCAGAAACGAGTACCGCCACCATTGTCACTACGACCAGACGCGAACCGATCGACTTCTTCATTGTTAAGTCAACCTTCACCAAGAAGGCGTACGCCAAGTCCCAACCTACGACAGGGAAATGGAATGGTCGGACCAGATTGGCAACGCCGCAACGGCCCACCTTCAATTAACACATCTCCAGCTCGAAGTACACTTAGTCTTTCCTCAACTACCAATTTTGCTCCGCCCAGTTTGTCTCAATCAGCAGCAAACACGCCAGGAAAACCGTCACCTCTGTACTATGACTATACGGAAGATTTTGAGGTGGAAAACCAGAATCGGTCAAACTTGGAGCCTCCACCGCAATTCCAACTGCAAAGGACAATTCACGAGGATCGACCCTTAAGTTCAGCACTTCGGCCTCTTGCCAATAGTCTTCCATCCAGACTCAATGGAAATAATAACCACCATCTTCGTGCATCATCATCGGCCTCAACCATAATTCGACATCCTATGAGGAAGAACAGTGCAGAAAGTGGAAGTGGGATTCCAAATAATGGTGGTCATGTTCGAGCTGCACTTAGTATCGGCGCAAGGGACTGTGAGAACTCTGCGCCATCTAACAGTGTTCTTGATGATGCCAGCTCTATAGATATATCAAGTTTAGGTGCCAATGCTCAAGAGTTGAGCTCGCGGGTGTCGAGAGCATTTGGCCTACACCCTTCACCGCAATTTGAAGTCACGATTACCTCAGGCTATGAGGAAGTTGAAGTTAAGCAGACCGAGCCTACACTTAGAGAAGTTAATAATATGATTTTAAAAAGCGGACTTCAACAACGGAGTTCATCATTACCAACCGCGAAAATAGCAGGTGTACTAGAAACTTCTCCATCGATCATCGAGCCACAAAAAATCTCTACAAAAGAGTATGCAGGCGAAGGTATTGTTTGCACGCCTGGAAAGCAATCTCTCGAAAGTCTTCCGGATAGCACAGAGCTTCAGCAACCAGTGGAGGATACAGATGAATGTAACGGTTCGTCCAAATTCAATTCTGCGCGTGCAAGCAAAGTCGGATCTAGTGGCTTCTCCATCATTGGCAATGGTCTTGATGAATTAGCCGATCTGATTGCGACCGATGATGCTGGTCGATCCAACACCTTCGACAATGAATATACTGGACTCCGGAGAACTCCTATGATGTCGCCAACATTGCCTCGAGACTCTTACTTTGATCCTCCCTCGGTGCACCGTACCAGCCCTCCCTTGTCGCTGATCACGAAATCGGAGCAAAGTTGTGCTCAAATTGTGGCTACTGATAAAAGCCTCGAAGGTAGGCTTCAAGATCATGAGGGGCAAATCGAAAAGGGCAAAATACCCGACTATAGGCCATCCGAGTTTCAGAGCCTTGGTGATCAAGCTCCAAGTAAGATCATGCCTAGATCTGAGTCTCCAATGTTAGCACCCAAGCCTATCTCACCAGCAAGAGAGTTGAAATTGAAGAACAGCGTGCCACAGCTTATGAAATCTCTCCCTAGAATACCTGACTCTTCAATTCGTGGATTGGCAGTACCTGGGAGGTCTGCTCTTGCAGATGCTGATGTGTCTTATCATCTCTCGAAATTTTCCCCCCCAAAAAAGTTTGAAACAATCGAGGAATATGCAGTGAGCTCATCGTCAATCGACCCACCTAAAACTTCTATAGAAAAGGAGAAGCTCGAAAAGTCAACGGAGCAAGCTGAATTAATCTCTAGCCCAGTCCAGAAACATAAAATTAATCCATCTAGAGAGAATCATGGTCCTCGCTCTTCGCCCATGAAGTTGAAGCTAAAGGTTAGAAATTCTGTTGCAGAGAAGACATCATCTTCGGATCTTCGGGCACGAAAACATGAGACTTTCTCATGGGCTAGTTCGCAGGACAATAATCTACCTCTGAGTAGCCAAGAAGAACAAAGTGGGGATTTAAAGCCTGCTAAGCTCAAATTGAAACTTATTAGAGCTACAGGCTCAGAAGCTTCCGGAACTGTCAGGGTCAATAATGCTTCTGGAGACCAATCCAGATCCAGCAACGATCTGCATGTCTCATGTCCGAAAGATTTATTTACGCCTACCAGTGGAATTGACAATATATTCAGGCAAGTTAGTAAGCATCTTCATTCACGGAGACCTAGTGCGAATAGTGATCAACAATCTGGAGGTGTTATTGAGATGATGCCACGCCAATTATCTCTGAATTTGTCTTCTCGCTTGAATCTTGGCGTGCCTAATGCTGATCTATCAGGAAACCTGCCGAGCCCCACGGACGCCCGAAGCTTTTTCTCCGATGACAGTTCTCATCGCAATGGTGGTCATGGTTTACGAAAAAGGATTTCAAACTTTCGAGCTCGCGTTGGTGTGCCATACGTAGCTCGTAATGGATCATATTCTTGTGATGACATAGTCTGGAGAGATCAAGCTGGAGGGGTCGGCCAATCGCCTCTAGCTGCCAAGTCCGTCGCTGATCTCAATGCCACGAGGGCCAGCTTCTTAGATTCACCAAATCCTCGACGTTCAGAGCATAGGCTGCATGGACATCGGTTGCGAGCAAAAGTGTCTGAATGGTTTCGTGGAGCTCGAGCTGCTATCTCCGCTCGTGTCAAATCGCGAAGTACAACCAGTACTGGCAATGAGAGATCAAGGGCTAGTGCATGATTCTCTGGACATGGCACTGTGTCGCCTTGTTGATATCTAGCTTGTGATACTTGTATTGAGCTTGTCATCCGGTTTTGGAGGAAAGATACTAGTCTGGTTGTCTTGTTTCTTTCTTGTTTTTGCTGATGGCGTTTGGGCGTGTCAAGGCCGAGATTTGTATGGGATGGGAGGGGGTAGAGTTTTAGCTCACTGGTGATAGGAAACAAATTAGACTGAAACAAAACAATAATGTTAATGAATATTATATATGATTATGACAGAAGGACCCTGCATTGGTTTATGTGAGTCGCTGGAGTTTGTATTTTGAGGTGCAGGTACTATGTAGTAGCAGGGGGAAGCGAGATAGTATCAAGTCATATTGTGGAGAAAACGTCTTGTGTAATCTGGGTTCATTACGCAATGATCTATTCAAGGCGAGCCTAGGGCCGTTGAAGCTAAGCTAGTCCGCAGTACTAAAACGAACGGAGGTTAAAGAAGATCGACAAACCTCGCTAAAAGTTTCCTGGAGTCCTGGGCTAGGTAATCTTAGTGGAATTTGATCTGCAAGTAACTAATTAGATAATTGTTGTTGGTTTAAAGTTTGGAGCTTGAAGTTTATTGTTTAGAGTTTGGATCTTGGGTATTGGGTATTGGGTATTGAAGATCTGGTGATGGTATGGTATGGTATGGTATGGTGGGTATATATAGTAAGTAAATTTTGGAGGGAAGGAAGGGGGGTGGAAAAGTTAGGCGAGGTCAGGTAAGATTGTATTTGTGATTGGTTGGTTGTTGATTCAGAGGGGGATTGGATTTTGTTATGTTGCGTTGTGTTGTGTTCTGTAGTATCTATTCTGTTTTATTGTGGTTTGGTTTGGTTTGGTTTGTATTAATGTTAAGATTGTGATCTTGAATATTGGGAGGAATGGCTGTGAGAAGAATGGCCATGGGAAGAACGAGAGGATGGGGAAATAAAAACAAGTAATTTGACTTCTACAGTAATGGAGCTTATAAGAGAGAGTGTAGGGTTATGGAAAGCTTGGTGCGCTTGCTAATGTGTTGGTGGTTTGATGGTTGGTTTGCTGTTTCTTGGTTCTTGGGTCTTGGGTCTTGGTTCTTGGCTGCGTCATGGGGGATGGATGGATGGATTGAGGGAGGGAGTGGGGGAGTAGGGGAATGAGGGAGTAAGAGAATGGGGGAAGTGAGGTGCATTTTGTGTACTGGGTAGTTTGTTACTTGGATTTAGAGGGGGTTTTGTGAGTGAAAGTGGATGGAATTTGATGGATGGATTAATGGATTAATGAATAGATGGATAGATAGATAGATAGATGGTCCGATACTAATAGAGTAACTTGTGAGTACTTATATACTAAATAAATGAATCGTAATATAGTGCTCATGATTAACTTTCCCCTCCTGTATATGGATCTGAAGAAATATTTAGGCAGAGAGGAGGGGCCACGAATCTGAATAAGTTGCAAGTTGAAGCGATGCTTGATGATGAAAGCCTAGAGTACTGATATCTGTTTTAACACATAGATGTAGTTTATAGCTAGTAGCATTGATAAGGTAAAGCCAAGAAAAGAAAAGGAATGTGATTGGATGTTGAGTTATGTTGGGAGTTTAGCTTGTATGTGTGTCAGAGGTAAGAGGGGATTGATAGGTGTCATTGGTTATTATCTAGTCATTTGTGATGGAGTGAAGATCAGTTCTAAGTACCGGTATATAGTTTGGAGTGGTGAAGAGTAGCCCGTTATATCTTCCCCTACCTCATCTCATGGGTGTTTGGTCCTCTTCCTAGTCTTATTGAGAGAATAAAGATACACTGATTGCATATACCGAGCCCGTGGATTTTATATATATTCTATCAACCTATTTCTTATATCTTTACCGCTGTATCGTCTGTTGCATATGAAGATAGCAGGTGAATTATATGCATACAACTTTCAATCATATCCGTTTTTCCTCGATACTATTTAAGAACTGTTCATCTCTTTCCTGATAGTCTCCTACTCTATCTATCCTCCCACTATCGAAGACGCAAACGAAGAAGCTGCAGACAATCCAACATTCCAGCATTCCCCGCGTACAAAACTACCCACCATCAAAATGACAAACATAGCGCAAAGAAACCGACCTCTCTTCGGGTCCAAAAAGAATAAAAACCAAGGACTTAGAGTTGACACCACTGTTGTTCACTCAACGCCTACGGATGTCATTACACCTCCATCTTCCGGCGCTGTGTCAAATTCTGCCATGTCGACTACAGATTATCATACAACGAGGGGCACTGCTAGTACGATTACGCTGCCTGAATCACCGGTATCGCCGCTGGGAGGGTCGATGAGCAATAATAGCAACGGAGATAGAAATGGAAATTCGAGTTGACAACGAACGAATAGCATGAATCCTATCAAAGAGTATCGGCGAAATCCCCAGGCAGATATGAGAGTGATGGTTGAGGGTGCAGACATTCCAAGCCCGGTCTCCGCAGAGTTCACGGAGCACGTGAGTGAGGTTGTTGAAGACGAGGAGATTGGTACGGCCGAGAATCGTGTGGAGAACCTTGCAGAACACGTTCGCCCAGTTAGAACTGAAAGGAGGACGAGTTTTTGGAGGTTCAAAGGGAAAGGAAACCAAAGAGAGACGGACGAAGTGACGCCTCCAGTAAGTGGAGGAGCAATTGATGGCTCCAACTCTCGTGCGTCTGATGGGTTACTTAGCGTTAAAGTTGGGCCTAGTGGTGGATTTCCATGGTTTAAACGGATGGGGAGTGGAAAGGGGCAAGAGAAGGAAAAGGCAAAGGCAAAACCGAAGGAAGAGAGCGAGGAAATTGATGAGGCATCATCAACTACACCTGCGTTCAATTCGCCTTCCTGGAGCTCAAATTCGACGAGTAGTGGAAAGTGGAAGGGCAAAGAGAATGAGAACGAGGGAGAGAGGAGGAGGAATAAGAGTGAGGGCGAGGTTGCACTATTCAACAAGGTAAGAGAAGGGGAGGAGGAAGACAAAAAGGGAAAACGCAGAAGGTGGACACTGCCTCGGATTGGAAGAAAGATTGTTATAGACGCGAAGGAAAAGGAGAGTCCATCGGAACGATTGGAGAGAGAACGGCTGGAGAGAGAACGGGAAGAACGAAATATCGCTAACAGGACAAAATATCCCGATGGTGTTCTTGATTGTGTAAGTTTCTTTAAATTTTTGATTGTGATTCTTCCATTAGGTAGGTACATTTAGGTTTGCGCAAAAAGAGGCTAATTTGTTTGCTCCTGCTTTCAGTGTAAAGACGAATTCAATGATCAAGGACAATGCACTGAAGGCCAAATGAATGGGTTTGTGTTAACTGCTAAGAATCTCAAGGCCGAAGCCAAGGCCAGAAAACAAAGTGTCACTGCTCGAATAAGGCCCTAGAACACGGCACCACCAACAATGAACACGCGCTCTTCTTCACGCTTGACCCATTGAATTATTTTGTTGGCACCTTGAGCCAAACCCGCACGTGAAGCGTTAGGACCGGCTACACAGTAGAATTCGAACTGGGGAGTTGTCCAAGCGAGGGAGATACTGTCGCGGGAGACGCAATGGAGTACTTTGAGATGGGAATGTTTCTTATGGGTTGCGGAGTGTAGGTTTTGATATCGGTTCATCAGTCTGATATTGGTGTTAGTGGTTTGTGACTATCTACGATGCTTATAATTGATGGCATGTAACGATATCCTTGATAGTTACTTTGCAGTATTCTATGACACAGTCGCTTTGGTGTTTAATAATAATAAGAAGAAGAAATGGACTATTGCATCTTACCTTCGACGATTGACGAGGGTGTTGTAATAAGGATCAAATGATGGCATTGTGAATTGAACATTTGCTCGTGACTTGTACAGGAAATGTCGTAAGGGCGTTCCAGGAGCAATATCAGTTGTCTTTGGACGTCCCTGGCGAACGGCAGCTTTAATGATGTTCATACTTCCATTCTTTTCAAGTTGATTGACCACGTCGTCGCGCATTTGTTTAAGCTCAAAAAAGCTTTCCTTGTCAGCGCTTATGAGTAGCACTGCAACTTCGTCTTCCGTTTTACCCTTCTTGTTCTCGGAGATATTGTCTTTAATAGGTTCGCCATTTTCAACGCTTAGGAAGCTCACATACATGTAGAGGTATCCTCGATTGTTGAATCCTGGGAGACACAAAGGAATCCAATTCTCCCCGCCTCCAGCTCGAACCCCACCGGCTTCGAAAAGCATGTTGAATATGAGTTGGAGGTCGCTAGGATGTAACGAATGTCGTTTAGGACGTATCACACTTACAAGCCTACCACCTGCTACTATCAACCCGTAGAGAAGCTTGTCAGTTCGTGCTTTCAACAGAGTATTGTTTATGACATGTCGTTGGGACTTCCGTAATTTCAAACATTCCAATGCAGACAATAATGCAGATGGGGAGCCTTTAGTAAAGGTGTCTGCGAGTGATGATAGTAAGGATTCAGTTCCCTCTAAAGGTCGGCGAAGATCTGTATTTGGTCTGTTTGAGAACAAATGTGTAAGAGTTGGTAAGGTCAGGGTTGATAAAATCTGCATATACAACGCTTCAAGCTGACCCTTCAATTGAGCATCGCTCTCGCCAAGTTTACTAATAGCAACAAAATACAAAGGTCCATCGGTTGAGATAACAAATCTTGTACGACCTGCAGTAAATCCTGTAAGAGGATCTTTTGAGCCCTCGTAGAATGATATGATCGTTTGAATAATTCCAATGTAGCCATTAATAAGGTTTTGATCTCCATGGCGACTGTATATAGGTTTTCCGGCGGAAGAGAGAATCAAGTAATGCTTAAGTTTTGACTTCCACTGTATAAGTAATTCCTCTTCGTTGCCGCCCTTGCTATCAACTTCCCCTATTTCGTCGAATTCGCGGTCGAAATGTACAAGAGAATTATCCTCAAACTCCTCTGCCTCATCAATCGGCTCCCCATGATCTGCTTGTGAATTCAACAATTTCCATGCCGGGCTTTGCGCGTTAAGTCCATCATCAAGTAGACTTGCAAGATCTCCATTTGCCTTTAAGGTTGGCGCATAACTCATAAGGCTTGCATTATCATCATTGTCACTTCCCTCGAGATTCTTTTTCTTGCTTAGTGATGAGACTGACGAAGAAACACCATGTCCTAATTTCGTTTCCGATACCGATCGGCTGACTGGTGTAGAAAAAGTACCTCTTGTGCCATCGGGGAATGATAATGTCTGTATGTCGACTGACGATAATGCCGTGGTAGGCTGAGACTGCAACACCGGTCGCTTTGGAGCTCCTGAAGTTTTGGGTCGTTCTGGTGTCTGGAGTAGTGGACGTCTGGGGGGCAGAGGAGGCCTTCGCTCTTTTGCATCATCGTTATCTAAGGTATCATCTTTGTTTGCAACAACCTCGGGGGCCTTTGTGTCGAGTGTTTCTATAGGGGCTTCGGATGCAGAATTGTAATTCACGCCATCTGAGGCCGTGGATCCATCTTCACCGGTCATCGCATAGGTCGTAGCATCATTGACCGTCGCTTTCGCAGACGGAGATCCTTTATTTGTTGCATGTGCTCGTTCATTGGGAGCTGCATCCGAGAGGTTAGGAGAAGCTCCCATGAGGTCCCTGCGGGGAAGGGGGTATTCCAACTAAACGGTAAACTCACATTAATTTTTGTAACTGATTTGTATACAGCATATTTATTCATGCTGAACTTGCAATAATAATTTACCACTGTACAAATGGTTGTGAATACTTTTGGATTTCTCGAGATAACAGGGATATTTAAGGCTGTAGTTTATGCGGGCAGGGCTGGAGCCACTGAATGATGGAATTTAGCGACAACCTGTCAGCCTTGGGAATTTGAAGAGGCACATTGACAGATGAAAGAAGCCACGCGTACGTCATGAATTCATGAATTAATTGCAAACAACAACAATCGAAAGATGCAAAGCGTCTTTAAATCTACTTTTGTGAAGTGCCACAAGAATCATGGCCCTTGAGCCAAGCTCTGGCCGTCAGTCGGTATCTCCTGCGAGCTCAGGAAGAGCATCACCAGTTCCGAGAAAATGGAGGAACCAGCTGGGGGAGGTAGAGCTCTCAGTTCTTATATTATTGCATATGGCAGAACTGATAGATTGTAACAGATGAACCTTCAAATAAAGATAAAGCATTCCGCAGATATGCATCCGGCGTCGATCGTTCGCTCTCGCTGTTTGACACAGCCTTACAGGAATGGGCGGATTATATTTCTTTCTTGGGGAGGTTGTTGAAGGTGTGTAGTCTCAAGAATGTGAATGGAAGAAACATACTGAGACAATAATTATAGTCGTTACAAGCACATCCTACCAATATAGCTACTGTCCCATCCAAAGCAATTGTCGCAAAACGTCTTGCTCAGTGTTTAAATCCTTCGCTGCCTTCAGGTGTACACCAAAAAGCTCTTGAAGTTTACGGATATATATTCTCGATGATAGGAAAAGATGAACTATCTAAGGATTTACCTCTCTATCTACCAGGGTTATCGACCACCCTGTCATTTGCGTCCCTCTCTGTGAGGAGCCCGTTCCTTGAACTTCTAGAAAAACACCTACTTAAGATTGATGGACGATCACTCCGGCCAGCTTTGAAAGCAATCATACTTGCTTTGTTACCTGGTCTTGAGGAAGAAAACAGTGATGAGTTTGAACGTACTTTGAAGCTGCTTGATGGTTTTAAACGTTCTGTCAGACCTTCTGGAACCGAGGATTTGGGACAGAATCATAGCAGTGGTGACGAATATTACTGGCAATGTTTCTTTCTCGCTGCAATAACGAGCAATGGTCGTCGTCTGGGAGCATTGGCCTATCTAAACCGGAATCTCCCAAAACTTGGACAGTCGTCCTCAGAGCAAATTAATTCCTCATCTAATGGGTCTCACAAGAATGATGTGAATACGAATCAATCTCAGCTGGCGGAAATTGTTACCTCGCCTGAGCCTGGGCTTCTTCTACGATGTTTCGCTGCTGGTTTGGGTGATGAACAAATCTTGATTCAACGCGGATTTCTAGATCTCCTGGTTACGCATTTACCTCTACATTCTAATGTTTTGCAACAACGTGTCAAACCGGAAGATCTCGAGCTCCTTGTCACTGCCGCTGCTGGCGTTGTAACTCGACGTGATATGAGTTTGAATAGACGTCTATGGACATGGCTTTTAGGGCCAGAGCCAGCTGGCCATGATAATGAGAATGGCCCAGAATCACCAACTTCGGTTACTGGAGATCCTCTTGGGTCGCATGCTTCTTCAAGGACCCAGTACTTCGAAGCCCATGGCCTACACCCACTTACACAAGCTTTGCTTAAGTTGATACAGCGAGAGGCCATAAATCCCATTGCAAAAGCCCGGCCGTTTCGAATTTGTCTTTCCTTGATGGATCGATGGGAGATTGGTGGACTTGTCGTTCCCGACATATTCCTACCTGTTGTCAATAGCGTCCGAGACTATAAGAGCAAAGCAGTGAATAAGGCCGACTTTGCTGAAGTTCTTAGAAGTGCTAGTGTCTTTTTTGATGGTGTTGAAAGTGGTTTGATTTGGGGCGAAATCGTTGGGTTAATTGCACAGGCATTAGCCCCTGGAGATTTGTCAACCGAGGAGCAAATTGATAAATTGTCCCTCGTCACCTTCATAATCAACCATTTCAATGTACGAGAAGAAGAGATGCTGCTGATACACGCCCCATTAACAACCCTGACGATTTTAAGTATGCTAGAAGATGCTAAGGAAAGAATGCAGGAGCGCGCAGAAACAGTTGGCGTCAAAAATGAAGTTGAGCAATTAGCTTTAAATCTTGTTATGGATTTGATCGATCTCATTCCAGAACGAGCTTTTCAGGTGCGGCCTTCCACCGGTCAGTCAATGGTCAAACATAATGAAGACGAGATCAAATCTCTTTCGAATACCGAGATAATACGCAGTATGAAGACATTCTATGTCCAGGAACAAGGCAATTTGGACGCATTTTCACCACCATTTTCAGCTCGTGATCTTAGCGAATTGCTCGTCCGCGAAGGCGGTAGCATAGTTAACGAGAGTCTATCAAGTTCAATGTCAAGTGCTGATGCTGGTCTTAAAACGAGGCTCCTCGTCATGCTACTTTCAAAAGTATCCAGGGTTGGAAGTCTTGATGTTCCGGGACTGCTAGAGTCTATGCAAAGGAAATTGAGCATGACATCTCAACTTCCATTTCTCACATTTACCTCAATCGTATCTCTTTGCACCAGTCTTTACTCGAATCATTACATCTCATTGCCACAACTATCCAATCTCGTAGATCCTCTCGTTCG